GTCTTGATGATATTTACTTTGGATGAAGAACCAGAAAGCCCAAATGCTCACCCAGATTGGTAAATCAAGCTATATATGTCTAAGGAGAATTCACTGTGGCCACCCAAGAAGGAATTTCTGACAGTTTTCCACCTTCCATTTGGGTACCTGGGGGCTAAGGACAATTCTGCCCTGTGTGGTCACATTGCTTGCAGAAAGAGTGTGTGTCAGCCTGATGAAATCAGGCCTCTTATCTAACCTCACAGAGGCAGCAGGCATATGCTGGCTGCTCTGACAATCTTCAGGAGAGTTGGAGTGTTTCACAGAGGAATCATTAAGAAAGAAACTGCCCAAGGCACCTCCTTCAGTTGTGTCTACTGCATTCTCTCTGGAGGTGGCAGGGAAGGAGATGTGCCCACAGAAGGGGGTGGTGGAAGAGCCTGGAGGGCCCAAGTACAGCTCCACCCCATGACTGGCAAGATGTTCCTTGGTTTGATGATTTTGGAAAACATTGTGCTGGTGTCTCTTGGACTCTGCTTAAATCTTGGCTGCTTTCAAAGCAGGGCAAAAGGCATTTTATTTTCCATCTGTCAGTGCTATTAAACATTGGCTGGGGATGTGCCAATTTCATAAGTATATTACCCCCATCTTAAAACCATAGTTTTATAGCAGGCAATTAGGAGATAATCACTGATGCTGCCTTGTGTTTGGTAGCTAAAGAAAACAAACAAAAAATCCAGTTTTGGTTGTTGCTGCTACTATTGATTCTTGTTTTATTTTTAGTTTGAACCCAAGGGACAGGTAAACCAATAGCTGGCCTCTGGAAAGGTTGGTACACTGCTGCCAAGTGCTGGTACCTTAGGAGTTTCTGAGGCAAGCCCTGACTCAGTTTCAAAGGGAAAATAGAGAAGGGATGGTTCCTGGATTTGTGTGTGCCAGGCTAGATGCTGGAGAGGCAGGTGGAGGAAGGCACCAAGCCAGGTGGAAAAGGCTTGCAAGTTAAGCACGCCTCTATCCTCTACGAATGGATGGAGGTAGACCTCTAGAGAACTACCTGGTCTCTAGGGTGATCTTTTAGAACCTGACTGTAGCCAGTGCAGGATCAGAGGCCAGTGAGCATCTTAAAAAATATCTATTTGCTTTTATCTTAAGTGTATAAATATTTTGCCTGCATGTATGAATGCATACCATGTGTGTGTTGTGCCACAGAGGCCAGAGGGCATTAGATTTCCTGGAGCAGGAGTTACAGGCAGTTGTGAGTCATCATATGGATGCTGGGAACTGAACCTAGGTCCTCTACACAGGCAGTAAGTGCTCTTAACCATGGAACCATCTCTCCAGCTCTAGTGAGCAACTTTTGGGACAATACAAATCTCTCCCCTCAGCCAAGGCATCAGGTCCTTATCTGAATCATATGTGTGCTATTTTATTGGGAAAGTAGGGGATGTCAGTGGTCTATTCAGAGAGATTCTTAGTTTTGCCTGCATCTAGAGTCACTAGAAGTGAAAATTATAATGTTCACACACCTAGACAACATGTATTAGGCTCTCAAGGTAGAAAGTTCGATATGTTATAAAAACAGCTTTTCTTTAGAAAGGTCACTTAAAACGTATACTAGTCTGTCTTCTTAGAATATATGATGAACTAGAATTGTCCTATTTTAATGAAGGGGTGACTATGATTATAGTTCATTCAACTTGCAGATTGTGAACTCATAAACTCATTTGTAGTGGAGCTGAGATGGAGACCTGAGGCTGGGGACCCAGTTGTGCTTGATTTATAACTAGAATGGATCTTGAGGTCAGCACCAACATTGTGTTATTTGATTTTAAGAACATCCTGGTAAGAATTTTATGTATTTCCAGGTGATACAATTATGTTAATATGGTGTTTTCCTAATCCCAGTTTCTTGACTATTTGGTGGCACTCTTAGCTGCTCATAAAAAGAACACATCACTGTCTCTGCTATCTGTGCCATAGGCAGTGAGTCTTAATTCATTTACCACTTTCCTTATTGCTCTGGGATGAATTTAGAACTTGCTCTTGAAACTGCGAGCCAGTGCAGAACACTGACCATATAGTCTAGGTTCTGGAGACAGTTTGGGGTTAGTATATCCCACCCACTGCCATCAGTTGAGGGCCCTCCATCAAGTTTATATTCACTAGAAGGGTTTTTTGAGCCCAGGAATTTGAGGTCATCTTGGGCAGAATAAGGGAAAATGAAAATTTATAAAAAGGAATCTATGCTGCCTGTTTCTGGGATCCTATGACTTGTGAGGCTAAGCAAGGGCAGGGAATTGTCATGTTGCCTACCTCAATGCTGCCAAAAGAGCTTCTCAATTTCCCTCCTTGTATCCTTGGCAGTAGGGGCACTTATTATTAGGCAATAAGATGTCTGCCATATCTAGAACTTTGAAATGCCAAAAGACATAGAATAGGTCCAAAGAGACTTCATTTAAATAACTGAAAAATATTTATATAAAATTTTAGGAGAAACACACCTATGAACACCTGAGTTTTGACAAAGAAGCTAAATTTGTAAATAAATTTATAAAGAAAGCATCTTCAACAAATGATGCTGGCATAACTTGATGCTGGCATGTAGAAGACTGCAGATAGATCCATGTCTATCACCATGCACAAAACTTAAGTCCAAATGAATCAAAGACCTCAACATAAATCCAACCACATTGAACCTATTAGAAGACAAAGTGGGAAATACCCTTGAATTAATTGGCACAGGAGACCTGCTTCCTGAACATTACACCAGCAGCACAGACATTGAGATCAACAATTGATAAATGGGATCTCGGGAAACTGAGAAGCTTCTGTAAGGCAAAGGACATAGTCAGCAAGACAAAATGGCAGCCCACAGACTGAGAGAAGATATTCACCAACCCCACATCTGACAGAGGGCTGATCTCCAAAATATAGAAAGAACTCAAGAAGCTAGTCTCCAAAACACCAAACAATCCAATTAAAAAGTGGGGTACAGAACTAAATAGACAATTCTTGCAGCAAAGGAGGAGTACTACTCTGGAAACTAGGAAGTAGAGTCTGGAGGTAGTCACAGAGTAAGCTGGAAACTATTCTGAGAGAGGTATCCCAATCACAAAAAGACAAACAGGGTATTTACTCATTCATTTATGGATTTTAGACATAGAGCAAAAGATTACCAGCCCACAATCCACACTGCCAGAGAAGCTAGGTAACAATGATCCCCTAGAGAAGGGGAAAGGGACAAGATTTCCTGAGCAAATTGGGAGCATGGGGGGAGGGGAGAGGGACTTAGGAGGATGAGAATGGGAGAAGAGTAGGGTGAGGAGGACATGAGGGAGCAGGAAGGTTGAGTTGGGGGAAGAATAGAAGAAAACAAGATAAGAGATACCATAATAGAGGGAGACATTTTAGGGTTATAGAGAAATCAGGCACTAGGGAAATGTCTGGAGATCTACAAAGATGATACCAACTAACAATCTAAGCAACCTTAAATGCCCTCCCCTGATAAGAGATTGATGACTGACTTATATGCCATCCTATAGCCCTCATCCAGCTGCTGGTGTAAGTAGAAGCAGACACCCACAGCTAATCACTGAACTGAACTGGAATCCAGCTGCAGAGAAGGAGGAGTAATGAGCAAAGGGGTCCAGACAAGGCTGGTGAAACCCACAGAAACACCTGACTTGAACAACTGGAAAGTTCTTGGTCCCCAGACTAATAGCTGGGTAACCAGCATAGGACTGATCCAGACCCCAGGAACGTGGGTGTCAGTGAGGAGACCTCAGAAATCCATGGGACCTCCTCTAGTAGATCAGTACTTATCCCTAGTATAGGTGCATACTTTGGGAGACCATTCCACATAGAGGGATACTCCCTGAGCCAAGATAAACGGGGGTGGGCCTAGGACCTATACCAAAGGATATGACAGATCTGGAAGACCCCCTATCGAAGATCTCACCCTCCCTGGGGAGCAGAAAGGTTATGTGATAGGTAGGGTTTTAGTTGTGGGGGGATGGTAGGGGAGGAGGGTAGGGAGAGGGAACTGGGATTGACATGTAAAATAATCTTGTTTCTAATTCAAATAAAAAATGGAAAAAAATTAGGAGAAGAGCATTCCATCCAGTGCATAGAATTAAAGAAGGGAGAAGATATGATAATGTATGCTTCCTACTGTTCTGTTCTTGGATAAAACAAAAAGGAAATAATAAAGCCAATAATTTTCTTACCATGGGCATCTATGGGTCCCTTTTCCTGCATGGTTGTGAGGAGCTCTTGTCCTCAATAAATTTTCTTGACTTATCCTAGCTCATGTCCCATTTTGTGCACTGAGACAATGCCAGAGCAGAAACACAGCTTTGCACTCATCCCTAAATTAGAGATGTAGTGACCCAGAACACAGACTCACAGCATCCCTTCTTTGTCATGGTTTTGCAAAATCCAGATAACAGCACAGAAAATGGTCTCAGTATTAAGGTTAGAAGAAAAACCCAGCCATGTACAATTGATATACACCATGACTGCAAAAAGTGTTTTACACACACAGAGGTGTGTTGTGGCAGAAATTAAAATTTCAATAGAAATTGACTGAAAATCTCATTTTTCTAATAGCATAATAGCACTTTCAGGCCCATTTATTGCTTCCACTTGGAGATGGCTGTGGCTCCATATGGAATTTCATTTCTTTAATTTGAGAAAAGATTTATTTTATTTTCATTTATGTGTGCATGTCTCTGCTGGTACCTACAGAAGTTAGGTGCCCAGAGATATCAGGTCCCCTGAATCTGGAGGTACAGGTGGCTTGTTGTATGTGCTGGGAACAGAACTCTGGTCCTCTCTATGAACAGTAAGCACTCTTAACTGCTTAGTTATCTAAGCTTTGATTTAACCTCTACTTTTAGTTCCTCAAGTAGAAGTTTTAAGGAAGTATCTGACTCAGGATCATTTTGAAGATTTTAGTAACATAATATGTAAGAGCTAAACTAGATGTTTGTAGTAATAGCTATTATGTTATTAAAAGAAATCTGAAACTCCTGTGTAAATGGTGAATGATTGCCATAGCAAAGGGGATAGGGCTGTCTATCATATCGCCGCTTATCTATCGTGTGCAGTGTGTGTGTGTGTGTGTGTGTGCGTGCACGTGCTAACTCAGTTCTACAGACTACCTTTGGACCATGAAAAGTAACAGTTCATCCTGTGGAATTTTCTACAATTTGGGATGATGGGTTTCTGAGTACATGTAGAGGAAGAAATAGAGCAGTAATTAGAAGGCTCAGGCTTTGGCCTTGACCTCAAGGAATTGCTGTGCAAGTTGGAAAAATGAATTCAGAGTCTTCATTTGCTAAGTGGCTATTTAGCATATTTGAAGAAATCAAATATGAAAAGACAAAAGGCAGACCAAACATGAACTCTCACATTGGCACCATGGAACAAACCTAAGGGGAGGAAGCAGCTTGGCAATTTGGATGTAGACAGTCTTCACTTCCCAGCTCTTTAAAATTCCTCTTTAATTACTACTAAAATATTTTCTTTCACCTTTCTTCAAGTACACAAAGCCTTAAAGGTTTATATTTTGTCTTTCTAGTTTATGGGAGTATGGCCATAACAAATATTTCTTGTTTCTTTTAGCTGTATAATTGGAAAGTGTGCATAATAAGGAGGCTGCTGGCCATCAGCTGTGGTATCGACAAATGGAGAGGAGAGGGCCTCTGAGGACTGTAGCAGCCTATGTGGTAAGGATTCCTTAACTCAAGCCAATTATTGCCATGAGAAAACCCTGAATTAATATGGGGAATTTCCCAGTTCTATTTTCAAACAGGAGAAACTAATATTTAAGATAAGAACTCTCAATTTCCAAATGCTGAACATTTTCAACTAATAAGAATTATGTATGCTCGCTCACAGAGCACTGTGAAGGTTCCACATGGGACCAAGAGAGGCCATTTTGAGAGCTCTTCAGGCTTTAAATATCTTTTAAAAAATAATTACAGGGTCTCATGTAGCCCAGGCTGACCTCAGACTCACAATGTAGCAGGTGCGGGGATTATAGGTGCCTAGCATCCTCCTTTGTTTGTACAGGTCTCCTTCAACCACAGGAAAGCTCTCCTTCAACCAAAAAACACCCCCAAACCCCAGCTAATCAGGGTTTATAGAGGTTCTGTTATATCATAGAACCTTCTCTGTTTTCTTCTTGGCATAATTCTGTTGTGATTCAACGAATAAAGGCAGGACTTACTATTGAGCTGCTGAAGGCCACTGGAGGCTGTGAGGTCTCCCAGCGTCCCACAGACCTTTGTCGAAAGTGGCTCTGGATGGGGACCCGGGCACTCTGGGACCTTTTCAGAGGCTGGGCACCTCCTTGGCTTCTCATTGTTGCTGAGTTCTGGGCCCATCTAGGTGGGAAGGACAGACATTGGTATTGGGTCCACTCCTCACCATCTGAGTCGAGCTCCTTTGGCATCTCCAATCTCTTGGCTGCAAGAAAGGAATCTTGTCACATCTTGGCTGAGCTGTGGTTGAGAGAGGTGCTAGACTTCAGGGGTTAGGGTAGAGCACAGGAAAGGTCTATGGACAACTGAAGCTGGGTTACTAAGACTGGAGAAAGTTATATGACCTTGTGCTTTGATTTAACCTCTACTTTTAGTTCCTCAAGTAGAAGTTTTAAGGAAGTATCTGACTCAGGATCATTTTGAAAATTTTAGTAACATAATATGTAAGAGCTAAAGTAGATGCTTGTAGTAATAGCTATTATGTTATTAAAAGAAATACGAAGCTCCTGTGTAAATGGTGAATGATTGCCATAGCAAAGGGGATAGGGCTGTCTATAATATCTCCTCCTCTCTATTGTGTACTCTCTCTCTCTCTCTCTCTCTCTCTCTCTCTCTCTCTCTCTCTCTCTCTCTCTGTGTGCTAACTCAGTTCTACAGGCTACCTTCGGACCATGAAAAGTAATAGTCCAGGCATCATATATTCTAAATCAAAACACTGACTTGGTGAAATTGAAGACAGTCGTTAAAATGGAAGGCATTCTCTGAATGTGTCAAATTTGATCCTGTGCCTAGATTAGAGCCATTCTGACACACTAGGTAACAGGATAAATTCCTAAGCCTTCCATATTGATGTAAATATATTGTGCTGTATGGAGGTGTGATACAGCCTGCCAAAATGCTACAGAAGCTCTGTGGGGAATAAGGATAGTGTCCTTGTCCTCCTGTCCTCTTAAGAGGGGTGAGATGCTTATTCTTGTCATCCTGGGAGGGCAGGGTGCTTCTGGGTTCTCATACCGTTTTCTTGGTGACAATATTCACTGCCCACAATGGTACAACGCCGGAACACCATCTTGTTTTCTGTCAGGGTCCCTGTCTTGTCAGAGAAGATGTACTGGATCTGGCCCAGGTCCTCTGTAATGTTGAGGGCTCGACATTGAATGGACAAATCGGTTTCTTCATCATATAGGTCAAGGTCATTATGAAGGAGGTACACTTGCCCAAGCTTCACCAGCTCAATGGACACATACAAGGAGATCGGGATTAACACCTGAGGGGAGATGGATTCACACTGTGTCAGAAACCAGCTTGATCCCTGCTCCCAGACCCTCACTAGTGGATAGCAAAGGCATTTGATCCAAAGGTGAGGACAGCTCACAGCATGACTTTTCCTGAGAAATTAAAAGTTAGTGACTTGAGGTCTCCCTTGGAATTCCTGGGGGAGGGGGTATGGAGTGGAGATATGCCTCTTTGGCAGTGTCTGGGGTTGGGGGAGACAGTTATCACTGGCTGTTTACTGACAGCATGTTGGAGTACAGGAGTTTTAGCACCCCTCCTGAGAGACCCCTGAGCCATCAGATCTCTGACATGGATGGTCACAGGCACCTTTGCAGGTGCTCAGGCCTTTTGCTGATTATGTTCAATAGTCCAATGCCAGATATTTACCTTGCTCTTGTTCTTTGTTGACATTGTTCCAAGTCGTGGAAATGGGGGTTATTAGAACAAAACTGACCTTCAACAGCTCATATTCTAGTGACAATGTATACACAAGTCAATATATATGATGTGCTTGTCTCATGAAATAGATAAAAGGACATCAGAGAGGACAAAGTCATAGACTTGGTGGACTTTCATATACATGCCCTTTAAGCAAAGATTGAAGAGATGAGGATGTGAGGATCACATTGGGAGGGGAATTCTGGGCAGTGGGAGGGGTTTGGGTGTTCAGGAGGTGATAGCAAGCAGGCATGATACAGGAAGAATGGAGGAGGGGAGCTGTAGGATATGAGCTGGGTTCAAGGTCCAGATTGTTTAAAGCCGTGTTGGCTTCCATAAAGGTGTTGGATTTTATTTCGAGAAGCCATGAATTACCAGCAGACTCTGTGCAGAGAAGAGGCGTGTTTTCACTTCCCTTTAAGTAGGATCAAACTGCTATAATGAATGGAAGGTTAAAAATGGTTCATGAGTAAGGAACAGAGTTCTAAAAGACATTCACTGTAGGGGAGATGGCACCAAATGAAACTGTAGCTTATCATTTTTCAACTGTGTTTCTTCATAGAGCCCAAATATTTAAAGAATAACATCTCTTAATCTCTTACTACAGTTTATATGTCTTCACTATGTTTTTCTCATCCACTTTGTTCTTCTTCATCTCTATCAAATGCTAGAACACTAACCTATGAATTTTCTCTATTTCTCACACTTGGGGCTGGAGAGTCCTTGGTAGCTCTCTGTGCTATTTACTATCCCTTTGGTCTTGGGTTTTAGGGCTTTTCTTGTTTTATGTCTGGCAAAGGGACATATACATGGGTGACTGTTGCAGTCTTACTCTTAACCTTTTCCTACAGCTATCTGAGGGGTTGTCCTGACATTACCAACATGAATACTTGGTAAATGCTCCAGAAAGCAGTAACTATCTTCCCATCTTATACTTATTATGCTTTTCTGGGGCTATCACTTTTGTTATTTTCCAAAGCTGTAGAAGTAAGAGAGCTTACCTGGAGTAGGATGATCATCGTGAGAAACATATAGAAACCTCCAAGGGCAAGGGGAAGGAAGTTCCCATCAGCATCTGGTACGTCAAAGGGAGGATGCTCTTGAAAGGTCCCATTCCAGACACTGTGGCCTGAGGAAAAGCAAAACTAGGTATGAGACTAAGTCTTTACTTTGTCCTAAGTTGGCCAGGTACCCACGGTCTGTTCCTTGACATGGATGATTATATGAAGATCCATTCTTATTCCCCATGACAGAAAGCTCTCTCTTCCCTCTCTTTTCCTTTTGCATGGTAGCAATCCTTCATGTTCCCGGCCCTTCACTATTCAATCCCTTGATGGAATGATGGATACTAAATCTGTTTTTATTGGAGAGATTAATATGAAGATTACCTATATTTTGATGAAGTCTTATCACATAGAGGCTGGGAAGAAAATGGAACATATGCTTTTCAATTTTATTTGTAAGAAGTGGGTGGTTGGGAAATCTTGACACATCTGTCTTCCAGTTTTCTTTCCTACTCATCCCTACGTCTATTTATCTACCTTCCCTCTTATATTCAATAATTATTAGTTATTGAATCAGTCTTGGCTTTTGTTCTTGAGTAATTCCCACTAAGCAAAGGACTCTGACCTGAAAGGACCCTGATGGGATGTGCACTAGAGCATGGGATGCTATGGGAGTCCACAGAACTCACACCAATATACACGGAACTCTGTTTCCTTATTTGCTAAAGGGGTGACAAAATCCATTATTACAGGATTATGCAAGATGAACTGTATGTAGCACCTGCTTCAGATCTGTCTGAATGTGAATGTCCTTGTTTGTTAATTAGTAATAGCTATCCCATAGGGTTATTTTGAAACTAGAAAAACCCATTGTGTAGAATTCTGTGTGGACTATTTTTCTGTCAGCTTTAATACAAGGAAGAGGGAAACTCAACCCCTACCAGATTGACCTGAGGACAAAATTGTTGTCCATTTTCTTGATTGATGTGGGAGGGGCAAGCTTACTGAGGTGATGCCACCCCTGGGCAGGTAGTCCTGGATGCTACAAGAAAATAGGTGAGCAAAATATGAGGAAGAAGCCAGCAAGCAGCACCCCTGCATAACTTCTGCTTCAGTTCCTGCCTCTAGATTTCTGCCCTGACTTCCTTCAATAATGGAATGTGTTGTGGAGTAAATCCTAACTAAAACACACGCTCTTTCAGCTTCAGGGCAGGAACTGTAGAGAATAAGAGCCATAAGGTGTCATCCTACCCAAAGGTCTCCTCCTATGAGGCTGGGTCAAATTCTTCACAGTCACTTCAGAGGAACAGAACATTACAGACATGGTGTAATTGAATGGTGATAGTATAGAGCAGAAGACATGCACAGAGAAGGGGCCCTGTGGTCAGATGAGAAAGCAGAGAAGCTACACGGAGAACCAGAAGTCTCGGGGGTCCTGCAGCATGGGTGTGTGTGTGTGTGTGTGTGTGTGTGTGTGTGTGTGTGTACAGGAGGGCATGATGGGCACAGCAAGAAAACACACCTTGTTATAAAACCAGAGGGAGCATTTGGTAAGGATACCTGGACTCACACTTGTCATGGGACTTTCTCCTCTTCAAAGGCTCTGTTCTAATGAGGGACCAAAGAGTCCTGTTTCATAAAGTTGCTATTTGCTATAGAGCATTTGCCTGCCTTCTTCATCGATATTCTTCCTTCATCATTTTTGAGAACTTGTAAAGCCAATCCTGGGGCCTTATCTATGTGTGGACATGTAATCATTAACTTCTTCTTCTTCTTCTTCTTCTTCTTCTTCTTCTTCTTCTTCTTCTTCTTCTTCTTCTTCTTCTTTTTTTTTGCCTGGCGACATAGTGATCTGAAATAAACTTCCAATTCTGGAATGCCTGAAAAAAAATCTACTCAACATGGAGGCATAGTTCCTGTAGCCATGTGGGTAGGGGTGGGGGTGGCTGTGTCTTTGCTGTGTTTTCCTCTAGTTTCCTGCGCTGCCTCTCCAGCTTTGAGCCATCCACTCATGCACAGTTGGTAGACTCATCTTCAAGGTACGTTAAATATACACACCTTGAGCCAAGTCTCAATGTCTTGACCTCACAGATATACTGGATCTTTCCCATTGCCTTTTAGACATCATCTATTTAAATATAGCAATGGTTATTAAGTTCAGAATAAGGCCGATAGCAAACATCATTGCTGCTTTTTGGGTCAAGGTCACTGGGGATATCTGGGCTTGTGAGTTTTTTCTTCTTGATCATCCCTGATTCTCTATGGGGCCTCCTTAAGCATTCTCTGAGACATCCATAGGTTAAAGATGATGGCAAGAATGGGTAAGAGCCCCATGGAGAACCCTTTCTTGTCTTCACTCTGAAGATTAACTTAAGTGCTTCTAGCTCACTCTTTTTCTAACTGCTACTGTTTACAGTCATTCTCCTTCTCATCTTTGTACCCTCCTGTGCAGCCCATGTTGCTAAGAACATTCTTTCTCTCTGCAGATTTCCCTGCTTCATTGTGCTCCTGAGCTTGTGTCTGTTACCTATCTCCTCCAGGAAATGTCCACCTCAATCAGCTAGAGCAGATACCTCTCCAGGAAAGACCCCCCCTCACTGGTGTTTCCACAGCGTCCATGGGAGGTGAAATAACACATCACCCCTAATAAGATAACACCCCTAACATTCTCATCAGTGGCTTCTGGGAAGAGGATGATTTATGAGGCTAAGAGGGATTAACTCATGAAATTTGAAATGTGGAGTATCCTGGATTCTTCTAGTGGGTTCAAGGATGTAATTACAAATGTGTTTATAAAAGGAGGTACCACAGACAAGACTGGAGAGATATGAGCAGAGAATGGAAGATGCCTCTAGTACAATGAACAGGAAGCTACGGAAACTGACAAAGAGGACTGATTCCTCCCTCAGTCTCATCAGAAGGAAGCAGATCTGCTGAAATCATGATCTTAACTCAGTCAAATTGAACTTCTGATACTTAGAAAAAGATGTAGAAGCACAGTGAATTTGTGCTGTTTTGAACCCCTCAGTGTTACTTAGTTTCACAGCAACAACAGGCAAATAATGCAGTAGCCATTGGGCAGTCCCCCATTGAGTAGGGCAGAATAAGCCAGTGCTTATTCTGTTGTTTCATGCCCCCCCCAGTGGGGGAGAGATTGTAGGCTCTCCAAGGAACAGTCCTGTGAGTCACTTCTCTCCATGTTCAGAGAACACCTGTGTTCCATGAGACTTTTTTCAACCCATCAGTGATCGACAGTATTGCTAATATTTAAGAACATATACACCATCAGGAAATTTTCATCAGTATCCCATTAAAGTAGGAAGTTAAAGTTCAGAATTATAGAGATGTGCTAAAAGGAATGGATTTCTGTGTTGCTTTTTTTTTTGTTTTTTGTTTTTTTTTTTTGCAGAAAATCCCTTACCTACAGCTCCAATGAGACACATGAGGAAGAGGAGGCCGATACAGAAGAAGATATCTGTGTTGATGCGCCGCTCAATTTTGCTGCGTTTATATCGGGGTCCACTATTGTTCAGCATAGCCTTTGTCTCATGGCCTTTGAGAGAAAATTGGGAATTTAGATGGAAGAAATGCATGTGCAAAGGTCCTGCTGAAAGACTGAGCTTGGGGTCAACAGTTCCCATGTTTGTTTCTTTGGGTCTAACGTGTTGACATTTCACGAGGAAGAGCAGTAGAGCCGAAATCTGTCACCCTAGTCAATATTCATCTGCTACACTTCCATATAAAATCTTGTTCAAAGGAAAAAATGCCAATTCTGGAAGACGATCAATTTTTCTAGTTATTTCTTTTCTACCTGGTGAAAATGGAGAGGCAACATAGAAGACACTTGTCCAATATGAAAGAATAAATCACAAGGGAAGCTAGGAGCCTTCCTTCCACCAAGCCATAATGCCCAGGGAACTTCAAGTAAGGTGTTGAGAAACACTTGGCCCTCAGACTGTGTCTTCTTAGGAGTTGCTGGATTTTGATTACTGTGCCTACTCAGAAGTCAAAGTGAAAAATGCCAGTTTTTTTTTTTCTGTGTAAAATTAAAGAAAACCAGTCCACCAGCTCCAGAAGCAAATGGCTTCACTGCTACTGACTTAGCTGCCTTGAGGATTTCAAATATCAACAACAGTGGGAGTGAATGAGTACAGATTTTGAGTCCTTCTCACTACCTGGTGGGATGCACGGCATTGACTCAGCATCCATTATGTCTCCTATGTGCTGAGTGCACCTGTGGCTCCCAGCCTCTATGTGCTTAGCTGAGAAATGGGAAGTTGCATGGCTCTGCCCCTGGGAGCCCCTGGGAGCCCCTTGGTGTTTCTGTTGTCTGAAGATGAACTTAGAAGAGAGGTTGGAGAGGGGAGCATTAAGGCAAGTTGGAAAAAAGAAACTGCACAGAGACAATGACCTGCGTAGATGACAATGCCTGCTGCCACCTCGGTGTTTCGGATGGTGCGCTGCCAAAGCCAGTCCTGGTCTGGTCAGGGTGTTCCCTGGGAAGAAGGAGGGAAAGTCAGGCGATGTTCTGCTGGTCTCTTTATGTGGTTTCTGGTCTGTGTAACAGAGCTAGAAGCCATGAGTGGAAGCAATCCATTTTCCCCTTTTCCCAATTTTAAGGGCTATTGCTATTCTTGGGGAATCCTATCTTTATGTCCAGATTAATCTCTTCATTGCTCCCAGGAGGCCTGGGTGAGTCTGGACCATCAGAAGGGAATTGTTCCTTCTGAGGAATTCCTCATTTACCCACACTAAAGGCTGACCTCTGCTGAAAATAAAATCCTAGATTTCAATTCTCACCTTAAATTGGTTTAGGGAATAGGCTTCTGGACCTTCAACGTCTGGTGCTGTGTCTTCTTTGGACAGTGCTCACATTCCTCACCTAGGTGCTGGGGAATAGAGCAACTGAGCATCCTGGTCCATAGAAGATGCTAGAGCCTCCTGCTTTTTATATCATGAGGTGGATGTAGGAAGTAAAATAAACCAAGAAGGGGTGGGTTACAGCTATCTCACACCTGTGCTACTTCACTCTAAGAGTCTCTCTCCCCATACATTCCCTCCGTTGCTCAGTCTCTCATCAAGCATGGAGGCCTCTGAGAAGGGAACAGTGGCCCTTTGTCTAACTACAGATGTGTCTTTCTTTCTTGAACCTCAGGAGGTATTTCAGCTTTCCATGTCATGCTAGAGACATCTGAGCCAGGATGACTCCATCTGTCTGTTATCTCCAGTGTGGCATTCTGACCTGATTCCTTTTCCCTGGGATTGCAGCAGGTTTAACTCTAATATTATAAAGCCATTGGGAGAACGTGAAAGCAGCCATCTTAACACTGAATTTCTTCTCCCTGTGGTTCATCATTGCTTCCTTTTCCTATGTCCAGGCATGATTTTTTTCTATGTGTTAATTAAGCTGAAGGGAATTTATAAGCCAGGTCATGCTATCATATCCACTTTATAGGAAGGACAATGGAGGCAAATTCAAAGATCTGGTAAGTGGCAGAATATGTCTTTGATTAATTATCTTGCTCTTCCATGCTTTGCTCATACTCAACATGCTTATTGATTTTTTTATTTATTGGTATAATTTTTTCATACAATATATTTTGATTAATTCTTTCCCCTTCTCAAACTGCTCCCAGAACCTCGCCCCTCCCCTCCACCCAGCTCCATCTTTCTCTCTCTTTCAAAGAAAAACAATCCCCCAAATCCCAAAGACAAAAAAATATCGCAAACCCAAACCAAAACAAATCAAAACAATAAGAACACAAAAACCAAGGACTTCATTTTGTCTTGGCCAGCTACTCCTGAGCATGGGACCCGCCCTGAAGTGTAGTTGATACACTCAGTACCATTTTGCTGAATAAAGCTGGTTTTAACTTCTCCTAGTAGGTATCAATTACAAACAGCTTCTTGTTTGTGGGTGGGGCTTTGTTTCTATATCACCTTCTCCATTCTGGGATTTTTGTCTGCTTTGAACTTGATGTAGGTCTTGTGCATGCTGTCCCTATCTCTGTGAATCTATGAGTGCATCAGTTTCACTGTATCTGGAAGATGCTTTCTCCAGATTATCCCTACACTTGGCTATTATAATCCTTCTGACTTTCTTCCACATAGATCCCTGAGCCTTGAGGGGAAAGTTTGATAAAGACATCTCATTCAAGACTGAGTGCTTCAAAGTTTCTCTCTGCACATTGTATATTTGTATGTCTCTGTGTTAATTACCACGTATGTCAAGGAGAAAATTGTCTGATGAACAATGCTTTGATCTCCTGTTGGATGTGCAATCGATAAAGATGGTCTTTTTTGATACAGAATCTTACCATGTGGTTCAAACTGGCCTTGAACTTATTATCATCCTTCCTTAACCTCGCATGTACTGAGATTATAGGCATGTGCCACCATGTCCAACTACAGGATCCATTTAAATGCTAACAATTCCTTCTTCTGCTTATAAACAATGTTCACTTATATAATTATATTTTATTCTTCATGGCTTTGAAAAGTTAGCAGGGTCATTTTTCAAAAGCTAAAGCTTACAGAGGCTGGGATTTTGTTTCCAAGGCCACAAGCATTGTATACTAGACATCTTAGGATTCTGAATCACAGGTGAGAGACTGCTAGTGGCTTTTATGATAGTCTGAAGTAATAGAACAGGGGGAGAGTCAGCTTCTTCTCTCACCCATAGTGCCCATTTTTGGACAGGTGGGAAAAAAGGCTTAGGCATCTTATGGCTGCTGTTCTATTGAATGCTCTTTGTAGACAGAGATGTTTATGGTCAACATGCAGTATTTATGTTTTGGCATTAACATTTGGGCAGGACAGTTCTTTGTTGTGGGGTTTTCTTGTACATTGTAGGATGTTGGGTGGCACCCTGGACTCTGTCCATAAAAGGCTAGTGGCACAGTTTCCCAGCTGTTTTAACAAATACTACCTCCAGACATTGCTAAAAGACTCTGATTAAGGAGAAGAATATTGTCTCAGAGTGAGAACTGAGGTCCTACAGAGATTCATTTGTTTAATTAATCAATTATTTATTGAGGAAAGGTCTCATGTAGCCAAGGCTGGCCTCAAACTTGTTACGTAGCTGACTATGACTTTGTACTTCTGATCCTTCTACCTCTACCTTCCAAGTGCTAAAATTACATGTGTATACTACTTACCCCAGTTTACTTGGTTATGGGGATTGAACTCAGGATTATGCATATGCTAAGGAACGACTCTACTAATTGAACTACCCTACCAGCCCAAATGGTTTTATTTTAAATTCTCAAGCCCATTATCTTTAAGTAGACCACTAAAAAGCTGTTCCCATCTCCAATCTGTGTAATCACAGAGGATTCCTCAAATTGAGGAGACCCATAGAGGTTTTGGGGGAACACAGAATAAATAGACATTTGGTTTGTGGGTACTGGGTCTAAAAGTCTTCTCTTTGTCTGACATAGATGGAGATATAGGCCCAGATGGTAGAATCTTCTATGATCTTTGGGTTGACCATGGACTGGCCAGTTGGATTTCCCAGGCTTATCCTTGAGGTCAGGTAGTGGGGAAGACAGGTCTCTAGGAACAGTAGCCAAAAAGGAGTATTAAGATAAGTAGAGTCTGGTCCAGTGCTGTCTGAAGTCTGTGTGAGGTAGGCAGGCCTGGGCCCAGATTGACAGTGAGACAGGCTAGTTGCTAGTAAGCATGAGTTTGATGGAGAAAGAGCCATGGGGAAAACCAGGCCATGAAGCTGATTGCTTCATGGTGACTTGGAGGAAACAAATCTGCCAACTCAGGCATGAGGTGGCAGGGAGAGACTATGTTTGCTGGAGACAATGAACAGCTTCTTCCTTGACAGAGGCACACAAAGAACTCTTCCCCAGATGACATTGGCTTCTACCTATCTCCATCAGCCTTTACTGTGTATTTGAAAAGTAAATAGTTTCAAGGCTACTGTATATATCTTTTGTATTCTTCCTTTTCCCTTCTTGTATACTTCCTCATGACACCACACATGGGCTGAGAACCTATCTGGTGAAGAAGCATCCCAGTAGCCTGGAACCCTGTTGGTAAGGAATGGGCCCAACATAGCTGAACTCTATGAAGCAGGGCAATCAAAAACACATCAGTTTTGGGGTATTTGGTACCTGCTGTGAAACTCTGGATAAATATAGACGTCTAGAGCATAACATTCCACATCTGCAACATGGAGACCATGGTCCCCACTTCCTTGGGTGGCTGTAAAGACCACATAAAATGGTATTCTGAAAAAGTGCTCTGAGAACTGCTGTATCAATGGACAAGGATAGACATTTACTTATACCTGTACTTGTGACTCTTACTTTGCAAATAGATTGGCTGTCTGATGTGGGCCAGAATTATAGTAAAATTTTGAGGTGGAACTAAAATAGAAGAATAAAAATTATTTTAACATAAACATCTATGATTAACTGAGCTTTTATTTTTGCTAACCTAAGCTCTGCATATGATAGACAATTTGATCCTTAGGGAAGAGAAGTCCGTGGCATTAGGTATTATAAATTTTACTCGGCAAAGATGGCACCTGAGGAACTAACAGATAAGTAAACCAATCTAGCTTACACAGCTTATTGTTGGGAGAACTATACCTCAAGCCCAGGTCTTTAAAACTTGAAAATCTTTAACCTCAGGATCTGGACTCTTAACTTTCTGATCATTTCAAGAAAACGTATTTCCAGCAGTAGAGGAGGTGTTTACCAGTACTCTAGGGGTCTTTGGTACTTACATATAACCCTTAAACTTGCTGAGGTGATTGTTGGGCCTTTCACATATGATGGTACTGTGGAAGTATTCTGGTTGGAATTGCAGCTCCTGCAAAACAGAGGACCTGTGAGGCAGTTGCATCAAAAGGATCTAGTTTTTATAGGAATGTGGGGAGAGTTAATCGCTGCTATGAGCATTGCAAATGAGGCTAATGTGCTTTACCACACTGTGATGCTGGCAGCATGTTAGGTTAAAATTAAGTTTTCATCGAGAAGAAGGAAGTCAATAGGAACAGAGTTAGGTGTAGATTGAAGGAATGCAAATACAGCAGAATTCAGTATCTCAAGGCTCTCCTCCCACCCGTAGGCTCACACATTCTTGCTGCCTCCCTCTTCCATGCAGTTCCTAAGCCTTGAATGGTGGGAGGCTAGTATAGATGACCCACCCATAGTTAAATACACAGTTACTATAGTTGCTTTTTTGACCAGTTATGAGTTTCTTCATTAACCATTAGCCCCTGCAAAAAGAAGCTTCCCTGACCAAAGTTGAAAGCACAGAATTCTATGATCATAGACATATTTAGAACCTTTGGGAGCAAGTGAAGTTCTTAGTGAACCTGTAATGTTGACATTACAGCCATGATGGGCACAGCCATATCAAAGAAGGTCAATGCCTCAGACATAGGGAAGGAACGAAACCTTCCTCTGATGTGAGTGTGAATGTTGATGGTATATATAGAAAATCTCCACATAGGCCTCCTTCCCATGTCTTAAAAACTGGCCCCCTACAGAGACTCCTCCTTCCAAGACTAGCTAAACCTCCCTTTTTGTTTAGCTGTATATAATAACCCTACCTCTTTTGTTTATATGTATGTAATAACTCTGCCTCCTTGTTTAACTGTTTGCAGATTGTATCACTATCTTGTTTTCTGTGTGCTTCTCATTCCCCATCCAAGAGGCCAGATAACTCCATTCCAGCTTCATTGTCTATGTGTCAGTCATTTCTTCATTTCCTTGTTATCCCTAGTCTGTGTTTTGGGACCCAAGCTGTACAAGTCCAAGTCATAGAATGCAGCTTGATAGCATGAACATTCAGAAAAAATAACTGTAGGTTCCTATCTAGGGTCTATATGATCGCCATAGTCATTGGCTTTTGACCAGGTTTATAGTACCAGACATAAAATCCCTCCCATGGAGCAGGCCATGTACGTATGCACAGCACTAATTGTGTTCAGGGGGTTATTAAAACAGTAAATAAAGATATGAAGCTGGGAGGTTGATTGATTGGGTGGAGAGCACTAGGGAGGATCAATAATCATGGTGATGTGTATGAAACTGTCAAAGAACAAAAAATATAAAAATGAGTCTGTACCAACTATGTTTCTCTGGTAGCAATGGATTTGTGTGTAGTCCAGACTTGCCCAATGATGGACAATCCAAGTCCACATCATCCAATATGGAAGCCACCAGTGAGGTGTGGCCATTGAGCATTTGAAGTATGCTGGTTTGAATTATTTTTCAAATTTAATTGAATTTAAACTAAACTTGAGTAGTTACATGTGGCTAGTGGCTACTAGATTAGGTAACGGAAAAGAAGGACTTTTCATGCTAAAGATGGTAATTCTAGCACTCAAAACGCTGAGGTAGGAGAGTCACAAATTCAATGCCAAGCTGACTATACAGCAAGATACTGTCTTTAAACAACATTCACGGCAACAATAAATAAATAAGTAAATAAAGGTGATAAGCACACTAACTAGAGACAACCACATGTTTATGTGCATATATCCAGGATTTAGTAATAATAGCCACAAACATATTCATGTATGCATATTCACATACATTTTTTTGCATTTAAAAATGAGTTAGTGGTCATGTATCTGGAATATTCTTTCAAACAGTCTGAGTATGATGTCTATGTGGAGGTTAGAGGTCAATATATTATGCCTTCCTCAATGCTCTGTCTTATTTATTGTGTTTGAGACAGGGTTTCTTACTGATTCACTGATTAAACTAGACTAACTGGTCAGCAGGCACAACATCTCTCCCTATCTCACTGTCCCTGCATTGAGATTACAGGTAGACACTGCCATGCCCAACTTTTTACATAGGTGCCGAGATTCAAAGCCAGGTCCTTGTATCCCTTTAGCAAGCATGTGCCTTATTGAACTCTCATTTCCAGCCCACCTTGAACATTTTTGAATGTCAATTTAAATATTTTGAGGAACACCAGAAAAGGCCAGTCACAAAGGTATATCCTTTTTCATTTCATTCAATACCTTTATCATTTTCATTTGTTTTGCTTTTATAAAAACTTTCCTTTTGGGAAGAATAGAGGAGAGCAAGGATAGAGATACCATCATAAAAGGAGTCATTATAAATTTAAAGAGAAATCAGGCACTAGGGAAATGTCCAGAGATTTACAAAGATGACCCCAACTAACAATCTAAGCAATAGTGGAGAGGTTACCTTAAATGCCCTTTCCCCATAATGAGATTGATGACTACCTTATATGCCATCCTAGAGCCTTCATCCAGTAGCTGATGGAAGCAGAAGCAGACACCCACAGCTAAACACTGAGCTGAACTCCTGGAATCCAGTTGCAGAGAGGGAGGAGTGATGAGCAAAGGGGTCCAGACCAGGCAGGAGAAACCCACAGAAACAGCTGACCTGAGCAAGGGGGAGCTTATAGACCCCAGACTGATAGCTGGGAAACCAGCATAGGACTGATCCAGACCCCCTGAATGTGGGTGTCAGTTAGGAGGCCTGGGCAGTCTCTGGGGCCTCTGGTAGTAGAACAGTATTTATCCCTAGTACATGAATGGACTTTGGGAGCCCATTCCCCATAGAGGACACATGGAGGACGGACTAGGCCCTGCTCCAAATGATGTGACAGACTTTGATGATCCCCCATGGAAGGCCTGACCCTCCCTGGGGAGCAGAAAGGGGATAAGATAGGGAGTTGGTGAGGAGCAGGGGAGGAGGGGAAATCTCCTTTTTGAAGTCATTTCAGCAATAATATAGCAGTAGTAAAATGTAACTGGAGATTAGGGGATAATGTTGCTTTCCGACTCTAGTCCTCACTGAATAATCCTGTATTTAACTCTTGAGCCTTGGTTTCTTCATCTTTCAAGTGGAGCTAATGTTTCCTGCCCTGCCAATCTTACTGGTGCCTTAGAAGATAGACTCCATATGGAAGAGTTCATATGTGTTTCATTTGATGCAAACTGAGGGTAGCAGTGAATGAAGGCAGTGGTGGGAATGGTTCCTGGGTAGAGTTTTGAGCATATGGGTGATGAAATTTATCACTCAGAGCTGCAAATCGAAGCTGTTCAAAGGGGCGATTTGATTTGACAAAATGATAGCATTTTCTGTCTTTGTGTCCATTGTACCCATGGGGGTGCCAAGGTAAATAAACCCTCTTCTCACCTGAAATAAATTACCCATACAGGAATATCTAAAAATATGGCTCTTGCCCCTCCAGGTATTGATTCTTTCAGGAGCAAGCAGTGAGTCCTGAGATGATGACAAGTCATGCTGTAATTTGTCAGCTGTTTTCTCACTCCTGATTAAGCTGTGCACTTTGGTGATGACCCACGGCACTCAGCTTGTTGCTGGGTTTCAGAGAGGAGTGGCAGCTAGGTCTGAGAGCTAGAAATACTGCAGCACCTCTGAGTCCTGTTGCCTACTGAATTACACCCTTTGGGGCTCCAGTCATGGCCATGGTGAAGTTTGAGTCCTTTGCCCCTATGCTGCGCTTGTTCATAGCAAACCTTCTGCTATATCCTTTTCCTGGTCCCTTGCTCTCGCTTCTTTTCATCACTGTCCATGGGTCCTGTCTTCATCTCCTTTAGGAGGGCTGACCTTGCTCTCTTCAACTACTTGTCTCTTTGGTTTTGTCCTATACTCTCCAAGATGGACTGCTTTTTCAAATTTTATTATTTTAAAAGTATGTGTCTGTGCTATGTACATGTGAGTGCAGGTATCCTTAGAGGCCAGAAGAGGGTGCTGTATTCCTTTGGGCAGTCAGTTGTGAACCTTCTGCTGTTGCTATGGGAACATAACTTGGGTCCTTTGTAAGAGCATAATGTGCTCTTTTGACAACTGAGATAGCCCTCAAATCCCTGCACTGTTTTCTCTAAGCATGACCATGTGACCCCTTTACCTGTAAGGACATCTGTGGTTCCTCCAGGGAAGCATCTGTGACTGTGGAAGGATGGATATAATCACTAGGCCAACCAACAACAACCAAGCTCCGCAACTTTGATTCTCTTCCCAGCTGGAGTGGGGCTCACCTCACCAACACCTAGATTATCCTAGTTCATGGGTAAAACTCATCTAACCAATTTATTTATTCTGAGTTGGTCTTTTGCCCAAGCTACTGCTTTTTGGTAAGAGTCCCACTGGCAACAGTCAAATCACTTGTCTCTGCAGGGCTTTGGGGCAGATCAGTCTCTTGCAAACTTTCTCTGTGCCACGCACATGCTACCTCAGTTCCCACAGTAACTTTAGGAGGCTTGGCCAAGTGTACAGATGAGAATAAACTGAGCATCGTCTCATGATTAGTATGCAACAGTGAGGATACCAGCTCACATTACTGGAATCCAAAACCAACTGATGCCATTGTTGGTGTTGTCACCATCATTACTTGTTTTTCTCATTCTGATGATTTCTGCAGAATTTATTCATTGCTTATTTTATATGCCAACAATCAAGTATTTTATATATGCCACTTCTTAGTGATTAATCCTGTCAGGCAGATTCCATTTACTACCTTTATTTAACGATCAAAGGAACTCAGGGAGAAGCCATGCCTTCCCTAGGTAGCTTTGTCCTTAGGATCATTGACCCTAGAAATGTCACTCTTTAAATCACAGTGTTAGCTGGATACATGGAAGAAAGATTACTATCTGAGTGCTTAGCCTTATTCCTTCTTCTGTTTTCACCCATGCAATAGATATAATGGAATGATTCATTCTCTAGTATATTGTGGAGAACCTGTAAAGTCATTTCTAGTAATATACACTGCAATGCTGCCTTTACTAAACACAATTGTACCTGAAAGTAGAGTACCCATAAAGGGTAAGGGTAGACGTTTAGGCATTAAAA